GGCAGGAATGAATACATATTTTTAACAAGTTGGCACGTGCCGCAGCTAAATCTGAGCATTTATTTATGCAGCGCCACAGCTAACGTACTATATAGATATATAAACAGAGAGACAGACAGAGAGACAGACAGGCAGTTAGACAGTTTTATACATAGATATTGTCTATGGATGTCTGCATCATCCATTCAATGTTTTGAATTAAAATGTTTGTTTTGATTGCCTTATATTATCCATGTTGTCTTATTTTGCATGCTGCTGCTGCTGCTGCTGCAACAACACAAACAGCTGCCGACTGGGTGGTCCGCAATGTCCAGACTCTGGGGAGCAACAGCAGCTAAAGAAGGCACGTCTCGCACTGCTTTGGCAATTGTTGTTCGAATTGGATTGTGACCGTGTGTTTATTAATTGCTTGCGCCAATTTGTCTACAAAAATGTTGGGAAATGCTATGCAGAGCTAGCTGAGACAGGGCAAAGGAAAATCAATGGAGAACAAAATTTGAGCATTTGTTCTTCAGAGACTGAGTTGTTTTAGGGATAAGTTTAAGTTTATGTTTCTTGCTATATGTTTATGAAATTATCTGAGAATAAGTTTATAGCTTAATTTGAAGACTCTTTAGTAAACATTTACCTAGGCCTACTGTAATATGATTCAAATATTATCCTATAACCTGGAGAATATGTCAAGAATATTTTTTATTTCAAGAATATTCAATTGAATATTTCCTTAGTCAAAGCAGAGCAAGGCAAACTTTTGATAAACCTCATCTATTCGGCAGTTAGTCTCGACTAAATCAGTTAGTTATAACTTGTACTATTAACAATTTCTATATAATCATAAATATCTGCCCCGCCAGTACGTCCATTTTTCCTTCTCGCTCCCTCTCTCATTCTCGAATCCATTTCCTGCAGTTGCAGTCATTAATCTTCGTTCAGCTGCAGCCTCGGGCTATGCTAAACTTCAGCATAACAATTAACAGCTAGACAGGCGCTTAAAGTACTTGAGAACTCGAATGGCTTTGTCTTTGCACTCTGCTTGCCTCATTTAGTTGGTGGAATTACAACAGTTAGGAGCTCTGTGCGCTCTATAGCGAAATCAATACCAAGTCTAAGACTATTTATAGTCTTGCAACCAAATTAGGGAATGGAATGGACGACATCAACAAATTATAATAATTATGAACACGAATGTGTCACGGAATGGGGCGCGTTTGTGGGGGGATCGCTCAGAGGAAGAGCCTGTCGAAAGGATTGCACATGCGCCACCACAAATAAAACGTGAGTTCCGTTTGCCGTCTGCAAGGCAAGGGGGAGCCAAGCGTAGCTAAAGATGCCACAGACAGACAGCAACTGTACATATATACATATGTATGTACGTATGTATGTGTGTATGTAAATTTGTATGTCTTATGTATTTGCTTAAGTGCATTTCCCCAATGCTACCTACAGCCAAATGCCACGTAGAGCACGCGTGAGTTGGGCCAGAGAGATTTGCTATGGGATTATATGTGGAAGACTGCTCAGTTTACTAATTGCTTCCGCTACTACAGAGGCTACGGCAATGGCAACGGCTGCTGCTGCTGCTACGGCTGCTGCTTGAAGTTTTTAGGGGTCTAGAGATTCATTTTAATTGCATTTCTTTTAACGGTAACATCATCAGCCAGCCCCCAGCCCAGAGCCAGTCGGCTGCAGCAGCCGATCCCTGAGTCAACGTATGGTCGCTCTGTCGCTCTGTGTTGTTGCCTCTGCTTTGGCTCGGTACCGTCGCGATGGCGGGATGGACGGACGTTGCCCGGACGGCGACGTCAATAACATTTGTGTCTGCACACAGGCACACATGAATATATATGTATGTATGTGTACATGTATGTAGATATGTGTGTGTGTGTGTGTAATGTAGTTGCGCTCAATAACAAAAATCAAAGGAAATGTATATAAGGCAGCATGTACTTATATATATATGTATATGTATGTATGTATATGTATGTATATATGCATAGCTCTCTAGTTGTATTCCCTTTAGCAAAGATTTGATCGCAATGGAGGTGAGAAATACACCAGAGGCAGAGATACATACACTCACACACACACACACACACAGACGTGTAGCAGTGATCATAAAATGCATTTCCACATGGAGTGGGAGGAGAGCCACTTGAGCTGCATTTGAGCTAAGCAAGGAAGCGGCCAAAGGATGTGCATACTTGAGCTATGTGGAAATGCTGGCAGACAAGAGGAAGCTGTAAACGGGAAGACAAATAAGAGCGCCTCACTCTACCTCTCTCTCTCTCTCTCTCTGTATGCATGTGTGTGTGTGTATTTTGTCTATCATTGACTTTTTGGCACATATACGGTTCATTTGACGAGCCGAATTGGAGGCGCTGCCATGTGCTGCATGCCAGCAATAATAACAACAACAACAACAACAACAAATTGTGCACACATGTTGCGTATGTTGTTCTTATTTTCAGTCTCATTTTTGTTGGCTAGATTTTCAGCATAGTTTTCCCTGCATTTCATTTTCAAACACTTTGTTTTTCGTTTCAACCAACAGCTGATTGAGCATATATACTATATATACATACATATATCAACAAAAATATGTATATATGTGTGTACATATGATTATGCGTGTGTAAGTGTGCGCAGGATTCGGTTTGAGCTGTGTATAAAAATATCCGTCAACAGCTGAGCCACTGACGTCACACGAAACGCTAGCGGAGTGTGAAATAACAGCTGCCAATTGATTTTTACGTATATTTATATATATGTATATATATATATATATATATATATATATATATATATATACAACTTAATTGAAAT